ACTACCATGCCCGGGATGAAGAGAGACTGCGGGGGTGCTGCAGCCATCTTAGGGGCCTTCAGAGCTGCCGTCAAGCAGGTTAGTGGGGTCCCACTCCTGCAGTCCTGGGAGAGGAGGACCCCCATCCTATCCTTCCTGCGGAGTCCACACCCATCACAGGCCAAAGGCTCTAAAAGGGGAAGAAGTGAGGGCTCCAGGGCAGCTCCTCACCTGCCCGGGGTGGTGATCGCTGCCAGTGGGTGAGGTGGGGGGATGCATGTCCTTTGGAGCCCAAAGCCCGTGTCAAACGGGTAAAAAGTGTGTGTTCAACAAAGGGGTGGTGTGCCCTGACCACCACAGGGACGACTTACCTCCTAAAAGGAGCTGCAACGGCTGCTTCTAGGAGGCCCAGCTCTTCCTGTCACCAAATGTAGGGCCTCTTCTCTCTGTAGGGCCTACCTGTTTGGCTTGGTTCCTGGGGGTAAACTTAAAGTGAGAGCAGAAGGTCTTGGCAAAGTTTCTAATTAATGCCGATCAGGAGCCCAGCCTGTTCCCTGCAAGAGGAGCAGAACTTGCAGGAGGGAGGGGCCCAGAGCCTGGCTGCTCTTGCTTCTGCCCCGCACAGCCTCATTAGAAATGGACCTTCCTGAGGTCTCTGAAGCAGAGCCACAGCCACAGGCCACCATGGTCCCTGCAGGGGATGCGGCACACGGAGCACCAGCCATCCGCTCTCGTCCCCTTGCTGGCCGGAGACTCACGAGGAGTGCGGCCAGCATTCACCTTGCTCAGCACGGCAGGCTCTGCCTGGGGGACAGCACCGGCTCCTGCCACCTGCCCCGCCCCTCGCCCCCCTAGCCCCGCTGCCTCCCTTGATGAGCTTGTCAGAAAGACTCCAGGGGTCCGAGCACTACCAGCCTGTAACTGGAGCCTCTGCCCACATCTCCTCCAGGGTTTCAAGGACAACCTTCACGCGGTGTTCTGCTTGGCCGAGAACTCAGTGGGGCCCAACGCAACGAGGCCTGATGACATCCACCTGCTCTACTCAGGAAAGTAAGACCACCCCTCGCTCACCACGCAGCCCAGGGCCCTCGACCGTGCTGTCCTCTCCTTCCCAGGCCAGGCTGGTCAGCTGGAGCCATGCTGGCTGGGGGCAGATTTCACCTTGCTTGCTCCAGCCAGGGGCAGACCCTGTTGGAGATGCCCTGTGACAGGTAGCCTGGCCCACAGGCTGCTTGCTCCCAGGGGTGTCCAGAAGGGTGACCGGGGTCCTGGCTCAGGGGCTCAGGAATCACCCTGCTTCACTAGGGTGAGCCCTTCACTGCCACATGGTGCCCATCCCCAGGGTTACCCTGACAGGTAACCCTGCACTTACCTAGGGCCAGGGGACGGTGTAGATGCTGCCCACACAACCCTGTTCTCCCGTCTTACAGAAGAGGAAACTGAGGCCAGGAGCTGGGTGGCTTGTCCAGCTTCTAGCTGGACAGTGATGGGCGGGATTGACACAACGGCCTTTGCTCTTGACCCTGGCACTGTGGAGGGGTAGTGAGGTAGTTACAGAAACAAGGGCTCTAGTGGGGTCACCCAGTTCCAAAGGGACTCACTACCAGCGCCTCAGAGGGTGCCATCCTGAGTGGGGTGTCTGCTGCCCCAGGACAGTGGAAATCAACAACACGGATGCCGAGGGCAGGCTGGTGCTGGCGGACGGCGTGTCCTACGCCTGCAAGGACCTGGGGGCGGACATCATCCTAGACATGGCCACGCTGACCGGAGCACAGGTGGGCGCCTAAGGCCACCTGGCCTCCAGGAAAGAGGGGTGCTGTCATTTCATCTTCATAACCTGGTGGGGGACCCAGGGAGGGTGCAGGTAGCGGAGCCCGTGGACTGAGGCCTGGGTGCCCGGGCAGGGCGGAGGCCTTCCTCCCCTGCGTCTCTCACCGCCTCTCTTGCCTTGTTTGTTCCCTCTCCTGGGGGCTCTGTCCCACTCTCCCTGACCCCCAGGGCATCGCCACGGGCAAGTACCACGCTGCCGTGCTCACCAACAGCGCTGAGTGGGAGGCGGCCTGCGTGAAGTCCGGGAGGAAATGCGGGGACCTTGTGCACCCCCTCGTCTACTGTCCCGAGCTGCACTTCAGCGAGTTCACCTCGGCCGTGGCCGACATGAAGAACTCCGTGGCGGTAGGTTTGGAGTGGCTCCTGAGGTGAGGGAGCGGGGCAGGCAGAGCCCTGCTCTCAAGGTGTCAGCGTGACCCCAAGAAACAGCAGCAGTGTAGACGAGGGTCACCCCCAGGAGGCCCCAGACCTTTGCTGTGGCTGAGGGGGGAGGCAGGGGGGATCTAAAAAGGGGATATACCATTCACTGGGCTCCCTGCCAGCGCACGCACCACGTCTGGTACTGGGTTTCCTCCCCATCTGGGGTCTGTCTGCTGTCCCCCGTCAGTCCCTTTGCTGACTGCCCCCTTGCCTTGGGGTGAAGGCAGACCTAAGCCCACATGCAAGGTCCTTGGGGTCCCAAGTCCCTCTCAGCTGCCACTCCTGCGCTGGACCCTCCCTAGCCCCTTTCAGACACCAGGGGCGGTGGCTGAGGATGGCAAGGTGGGTCTACAATAGGCCCTGATGGTGCTCTTGGTGGAGCCCCTCTCCCAAGCCCCCACTGCTGGGAGGGGAAGGGTCACTGTCTGTCCTTCTGTCTCCCCAGGACCGGGACAACAGCCCCAGCTCCTGTGCCGGCCTTTTCATTGCCTCACACATTGGCTTCGACTGGCCTGGGGTCTGGGTCCACCTGGACATCGCCGCGCCTGTGCACGCAGTGAGTGCAGGGCCCCAGCGGGCGTCCTCCCCTCCTGGTTAGGACACTTCCTTGGCTGGCCCTCCAGTCTGCTTCCCCTCCCGTCCCTCCCCTCGGCCTGGCTCCCGCCATCGGATGCACGTCCAGAGCCCTGTCTGGCTCCAGAGCTGCAGGCTGAGCTCATCGGAAACATTCTGTGTTGAGGGTCATACTGTCTATGGCCCAGCCTCCCAGCCAGCTGTGGTCCCCCCTGACCTCTGGTCTCCTCATCCCTGGGAACAGAGTGGCTGCTGTTTGCGATCCTTCCCCAGCCAGCCGTCCTCAGCAGGAGGCCCGGGCCCTGGTCTCACCCTTTCGCACCCTGATAAAACCTGAGTGAGGCCAGAGCACTCCTTGGTTCGAGTGTTCAGGGCAGCAGAAGGGGTCTTCAGGGAAAGTGGGGCCCTCTCCCTGGCCCAAGCCTCTCCCCGCAGAGGCGGCTCGCTGAGGGGTCTGGCTCCCTGGCAGGGGCTCCACCTGCACTTTTTCCACAGGGTGAGCGCGCCACGGGCTTCGGGGTGGCCCTCCTCCTGGCACTCTTCGGACGAGCCTCTGAGGACCCTCTGCTGAACCTGGTGTCCCCGCTCGGCTGTGAGGAAGACCCCCAGGAGGGGGACACGGACAGGGACTCCAAGAGGCGCAGGCTGGTGTGAGGCTGGCTGCCCGCCTGGCCCCGTGGCAGGGGCTCTGCCTCCCTTGGCACTGATCAGTTTTAAGCAGTTGGAAGATTATACCTTAAGATGGGCTTTGGTTTGTTTTTGTTTTTAGTTGTCGTGGTGATGGAATGGCTCCTATGTCTTAGACAACAGCTCGGGGGGCG